GGTTCGGGCTGCTCCTGTGGGTTTCTCTTTGCAGGTGATGTACCCTTGCTTTGCTCTCCCATCATCCACCTCATAATCTGTCACATCTACCCCTCTTTCACCATGGTTTCACTGAGCGTGCTCACCTTTATGTTGGGTTTGCTGCAGCACCTCGCAGTACTCGTTTACAGGAGTAGGGCCGTGGCTTTTCTAGTTATTTCTGCAAGGTAGAGTTCCCAAACTGATCTCCAAACCAGCCCATTAATTACGAGGCATGTTCTACTACCTTCACACCTCAGCCCTACAGACCCTTTGTTTCACATCACTCAGAAACGTGTGTGTGCACGCTCAGAAAGAACGCACAGGCTACTGTCATTGTCCTATAATATAAAGGCATAACTACATAACTGCATAAATGCAGCAGTTTTGCAAATCACATTACGAGAAGATTCCTTTAAAAACAGGTAAATGAGGCTCCAGGACTGATTTCCTTCAAGCGGTCGGACCAGGTGCCTGTAGAGTGACCTGTCCCTCCCGTGTCCTGTCCCGCTGTGCCTGTGTCCTGGTGCTGAATGCCCCGTCCTGATGTCCGGACCTCGTTCCAGTTCTTGAACAGCACGCGAGGCCACGAGGCTGCCAGCGCGATGGCAGTTAATGACAGGCTGCAATCTGCAGGAGGCCCAAACCATTGGTGTCGTGTAACAAATACCGGGGCAGGGGAGGCACTGCAGCCTATAGTTTTCTCCGAGGAAAAACACAGGCTCCTCCAAGCCTCTGCACCAGGGCCTTTCCCCTCTCGTGGCAAGCGACCTCGAACGCCCCCCGAGACGGGCTCTGCCAGGGGGCGTGACCTAGCCGAGCTGAGGACTCGGAGGTCTCAGGGTGGCAGAGTAACGTGAGTAACGAATGATCAAACTGCTGGGAGAATCTACCTTTCTCCAGGCTTGTGCAGAAGCAACTCGCTGTATCTTACTGTGCGCTATAATTGGTGGCTTGCTGGTGCGTTTTGATAAAATCACGCCTGTTTACGGCTGTCCCTCATGGCACTGGCACCCTTTAGAAGGCCACCCAAGCTTCCTTCTTGCCAGTTTCGATACCAGCCTAGTGTTTGGAGCGCGGACGGAGCTGTTAGAGTGATGTTTTATGGTTTCCCGATTGGTAAATGTCTATAATGACCCACCTCAGCTTGGGAGCTAATGACAGTGTTTTGATACCTGTAAGAGCTGAAATCAGAGAGCGGTCCTGGAGGAGAGGACAAATTCTTTTCGTTGTTGTTGTTGTTCTGAAAGCTGGCTCCTGGGATTTTCAGCTGACAGAAGCTAAAGTGAAGCAGCAAGCCATCTTTAAGTCTGAATTTGATACAACCCTGATCGCAGTGCAGCACGATCACCTAGCACTTGTTTCATAATGCCTCAGTGCGATAAAGAAAAGCTTTATTTATCTCTTGGAATCTTTGCACAAAACCACAGCTTTGTTTGTGCACAGATCCATGTCCCAAATACAGTTATTGCATGTGAAGAGACTTCTTTTTGACATGCTGTAGCAGTTACAGCTCTCTTTGCAGTTTGTTAGGTCTGATCCCTGTAACATCCCTCCTGCCTCCAGCTAGTGGACCTTGGTCTCTCTCACACAGTGCTTTGTCTCAAAATGCTAGCCAAACACCTACATACATAACCTAGTCTGTTGCAATCAGCGAGAGTCTGCACTGCTCCAGTGACGTCACAGGCCTGCCCACATCCTTAATCATTATTAACACCCCGGGAGGTCATCACAACAGTCTTAAAGGGCATCCCACGTGTCCCAGGATCTCCCTGACCAGTGCAGAAGATGTAAGCGCCCTGGCCAGGACGTCGTCCCGGAAAAGAAAACCGACGTCTCCTGGGCCTGCGGTATCCTGTCTGGTCGGTCCGGCCTGCCAGGACGCTACACCCCGGAGCGCACCCCCGCAGGACACACCTCACACCTTCCCAAGCCATCAGACTTTCCAGTCGACAGCCTCGCTGCCTCCCTCCACTGCTAAACAGAGCGGCAATAAAGCTGACTTGCCCCAGTGACACTGCTTGCTGGGCATGAAGGCGAGAACCACAAGTTTATCTCCTCACCAGAAGCCACACACAGATTCACTTAGCAGCTGTATATACTGACCAGCTTCAAGAATCCTAACGGATTAATGAGCTTCAGGTATTCTGCATGCCAGTCGGTCACTGAGAGATTCCTTAATGCCATCTCCAGTCTCTTGTATTTTGTCTTCCGGGTGGTTTTCAGTTTAAATTAATGTTTTCCAAATAATTTCTAATAGTTTCTAAAATTAAGCATTACAGGGCAGTGTGCTGGGAAGCCCAAATAGCTAATAAGTGACAGGAACAAATACAGCTGCTTCCTCCAGTGTGAGCAAACAATGTGATTTCTTTCAGTTTTGCAATTCATGAAGTGCTTGAAAAACTTGGATTGCTTCCCCATCAACAAAATCACATAAAGCCTTTGACTTGTTTTGACTTTGGAACAGGATTCATACATGAAATTAGAAATGATAACGGCCCCCCTGGCAGTGAGACACACCACACCTACGCTTGAGGACACGTCTCTCTCCGTCAGTAACTGTGTGC